AATGTTAGTTTTAGTATATGTTGTCAAGTTTCTGGCGATAGTGGATAAAATTCTATACTCTTGCTATCAGAATTTACCCTATAATTATCATAAAAAGATTATTGGTAAAACGTAAATGGTAAAAGACATAATTACAAATTCGAATCAGTTTTTAAAAGTCTTATCGCATTATTAGGTCCGTCGAACTTATGAAAAAAAGATAGGTATATTTTAGTTGAAAAAACGGTCAGTATCGAATCCACTTAATCTTAATTTTTATCCAAGTTTGAATTAAATATTGTTTGTACATAATAAATATTATGTTCTTATTATAATATTCTTTACATGAATATAGAATGGAGTATAGATAATTTAATAATTGGGTTTGGCTTTTAATTCCATTAATAAATGTATTATGACCTTTAGAGGCCTTTAATCACCATAATATCAATATTATGTTATTTCTGAACAATTATTAACACGATCTATTTGGAAAAAAAGTTATACATGCGCTATTGTCGAATAGACATGTTCTTTTGACTCTAAAAAATCACAAATATATTATATAGGTATAGTATAAACTTTTAGAAAATGATCACACAATAGTTGACTTATTTTGAATAATGAACAAAATTTGTGGGTCATTCTAAATGACAAAACGCTTTTTCACGAGTACCGACATCTGACAGACTTTAATTGGTAATTGGTATACTCTATAAACAGATTTAATGTAACTTTAATCTCACATTCGTATTGGAGTTTGTTTTACTGTGTCTTACTAGACCAATCGTGAGACGTACATTTTTTTATGCATTTATATCTGGTAAAATAATAGTATTAAACTTGTGATTACACGGCGTTCTGCATAGTCTTTTTTAGCTGCTCTACTGTTTAAGAATACTGTTTTATCGATGTTGTATTAAAATTACATATTATTATAAGTTAGATTTAGGTTTTAAAATTATAGAATACACGCCAGAGTTTGTAGCTATTATATTATTGCTTTAATCTTTAACTTTTAAACACCAATACTATACAATAATCACCGATATGAGTAACAAATAGCAAAAAAAAAAAATAAAATAAACTGGTAACGAACACCATATATACCACATATATTATCATTTGTATATCATCGCGTACAAATGAAATCAGATATGATAATTAAATAATGTATTTTTATATTACTATTTTTTAAATTTATTTAATAATTTTAGTGTATAAATGCATGACTCCTGCAATAATGTAAAAGCTAAATAAACTATTTAGGTTGCTGTGTCAAATAATAAATTCATTATGAAAATAATATATAGCCAATCATAGTTCATAATATTATTATTGGTAAAATATATCAAATATCGTTGTGTTAAGTAATAATATATACTATAATAGTATAGGTAAGGTAAAGTTATGACTAATATGAACAAAGAAAAATTAAAATGGTAAAAATATATCATGGTTAATCATATATATTTAGAGTTGTCTGAACAAAAAATATTATGTCTAAAAATATAACTATTAAGAATAAAAACCAATTCGTGTTGTATGCTATCTACATGAACTTTGGTCGCGTTGTATATTATTTACGTTTCGGATAATATCTATGTTGTACAGAGATTGGCATTACAAGTATAACCGTATACTTATAAATATCAATAATACACTCCATAACCTACATTTTACACTTATCATAAGACTTCAGTATAAATGTATACATATAACTTTCAGTTTGGTTTGTAAAAATGATATGTATTTGAATGATTTTCAAATTAAATTATTATATTGTAAGTGAATTATTTGCATATAATTATTTTTTTGTTAAATCGAAACGGAACATTTTATTGACTTTTATAGACGTTTTATTTACAATAGCGAAACGTGCACTTATATTTAAAAAAATATTCTAATTAACACACAACGCCAACAAACAATTGCGGTAGATACGTTTTTCAATTTTTAATGTGAATAACATACAGCACGAGTTCCATAAAAACTACAACCTAAGTAACCTACTGTTTTTATTTGTATAAAAAAAAATATTTAATTGGCAAAAATCAGTTAATTCAATTATAGTATAACATTATTTATATCCACTATTTAGCATTATGTATGTATGTACCAGTTGTAAATAATTATAATTATATATAATATAATATTATACATTTTAAACAATAATATTTTGTATTACTTAAGAGTTATAACCACTAACCAATATCTAATATAAAAGTAAACTCATAGCCATAGCTGTTTATGCTTCATCAGATAATAAATGTACATACATATACATTATACATATGTATTTATATATGTAATATATATATTAATTTATTTTACATTTACGGACAAATGAATTTTTTACTAGATTATAATATCTATTACAAAATTTCTGGCAAGTATATAATATTATTTTATCACAATTAATACTAATAATTTTAAAGCCTAAAATTTAAATATATTGTGAGGGAGTACAGAAAAAAAAATTGAATTTAGTGGAAATCTTATTGACTAAAATAAAAACTCTTGAAAAAAATGTATTATTTCCACTATTGGTGTTATAATTAAAAATTACAAATAGATCAAGTTCCTTATGTTTTTATATGGTATTTATGGAAACCAATTTCAGATAATAACTCGGAACAGCCGATAAGGTTCAAAATATCGTAAATAATGTATATATAATATATATACTAAATAATGATGTGTAGGTATTCTATAGTTAATATTATTTGGAATCGCATTTTAATTCATCGAACTAAATTATACCTCAATAATATCCTCGAAAAATCTAAGTTTTATATGTCTATACAAAATTAAGATAACATCTCATGCTGTGGTAACTATTTAATAAATATAAAAAAAAAATATAATAATAAATATTACAATTTAACTTTTTTTAAATTTCCATTCTACCTAATGTCTTTAGAAGGTACTATACATAAATTGAAACATAAATTGAATGGTATAATATTAATATACAAATGAAATTTACTTAATAGATAGATTATGTATTAGTATTACATGTATATTTAATTAGTTATAAGTTTATAACGTATACAATTTTTACACAATATGTAAATTTTAAACAACATATTATAGCCACGTAGAATATCTGTAAATACCAACTATTGTCATCTTCTCAAATTTTAACCTAAATGCATTCTTAGATTTTCATATACTTTATAATCATATTTAAATAGTATTTACTTACTAAAATTGAACGCTGTATGTGTTAGTTTAAATAGCATGATCTTAGTGCCTAATAACAATTAACATCCAATCTGACATAAGAGTTGAAAATAAGTCTCGAGCGCTGTTTGAAAGTTTACTAATTACTATTACTCTCCGTACAGCTAATTTGATCGAGTATTCTTCATTTTAACACATTATTTTTTACTGTCCCCACTGGGAACTGATGCGGCTGGCAGTGAACGGGTTCATGGGCAGCCGAAACATCACCTCAAGTCAAGTGACGTACAGGACCTGCTGTGTGGTCCCACCGACGTCCCGATTTGAACGAACGATCGAATACTGGCTGCCTCTCGACGTGCCACGCGGGCCTTTTATGAAATGGTTGAAGACATTCTCAGCTGCAAGGAGCAAAATGAGAGACTAGCCGAGAGTGGAGCAAGAGCTAAACGACTGAGCTCCCTCCGAGAAATCAGCAGAACGGGATTTCAGGTTGACGGGTGCGCTCGACACCGGGCCGAGAATTGGATTGATAAACGGAACTGATATCATATTTATCCATGTATATTGTTTGGCCTTAGTCTTAGGCGAAGAAGTGCAGAAGACAATTTCGATATCAATTACTCGTGCTATGTATATTCGTTTGCATTTGTATTGTGTTTAAATGTTTTTAATGTAATTCATCAATAAACGATGATAGCAGAGGAGTAGTATTGTGTGCAAACAGATCCACCTGTGCTGTCGGTTCTAACTGGGGGAAAAAAAGACAAAAAAAAAGTATTCTTGATTTTACTTTTGTATAAAATTACATAGACGTTTGATTAGAATCATTATCAATACATATAGATAATGAACTTGTTTATAAATCGACGACTCAGGTCTTGAATAAATAGAGAACATGAATGCATTAATAATTCTATCTATAAATTATGTTTTTTTTCTATTATTTCTATTTGTAGTACAAAAACATAATAATGAGGTATATTTGAATGTAATGAAAAACATATTTTATGGAAAAGACATGATCATTATATTTAGCTTTTTCCCGAAATTAGACTATTTATTAAAAATTTATTGTAGATATGAATGTATGATTCATTATTTTTTAGTTAATTACATGTATTTTAAGATTACAAAAAATTAAGAGACTAAATCTTTAAATTAAATTTTTATATTTTATTATATTTATTATATAGAGGAAAGCCTCATTAAATAAACAACTAACAGCAATATTAATACATTTCAAGCAGGTGTCGGTTTTAAGTGTTTTTGTGCTCAGTCTAGCTGCTATGATTTGAAGTTGTGACTTATAACAATTTTAAAATATGTATAATGAAATTATATCTAAACTACTTGTTCGATTGCAAATTTTAATATTTAGATATATTCAATCAGATGTGACATACATATATATAACACATAATATTCTTAAGGATAATATTATAACCACTTTGATCATCTTTTGTGGTGGTCCGCGTGCTATTAAAATTACTTCAGAAAACGCATGTACCTATGATAATATTAAAACAAACTAGATCAATTAAGTACACCCACATTTATGTAAAGAAAAGAAAGAAATTGAATAAAATTTCAATAAAAAAAAAAAAAAAAAACCCACTAAAATATTTTAATAAGTAATATTATAAATTATAATAAATTGTTTAAAACCATAATCTATGCCAAACTTTAAATTTGCTTATTAAATAAATTTAAAAATATACTTTTATCTAATCTATCAATGATAGCCTTAAAACTCGGTCATAAACATTAAAAGAACAATAAAATACTACTGATAATTAATATTAAATTGGTTTTTATTCAGTATATGCTTAATAATTTAACTAAATCAAATACTACCAGCATTAATGAAAGGAAAAAAAATATTCATCACCCATTGTTTTGGAACTCCAGTTATTTATTTTCGTATCCATCAAAATCAAGTTTTAACTGTTTTAAGGTAAGTTAATTAAATTACAATATTATAAGATTTTAAATCCTTGTTATAAAATTTAAAATAAAATATTTATCAATAAAGTAACATATAGTATTAGCTTATAAATAAAATTTATAGGTAGATTAAATATTTCAAATAAACATTAATGTCTATGAAAATAATATCTTGTATTTTGGACATTTTTAGGTTGCTGTAAAAATCACTTATTAAATTGTGCTATTAAATTTAAATTTTATACGTTTTTAGCCAAATTCATCTAAAGGTTTTAAATAGCGAATTGTGTTTGAAAAATGAAAATGTAATTAATTTTAGAATGTATAAAATGTTTACGATTAATATTTTTTCAACAATAATAAAATAATAAAAATTGTTTGAAAAATTAATTTATAAATTAAATACTACTCATTATTTAATAATTAAAATAGAACCTTACTTGGAGTATTTAATTTTTTTTATTCGGTTACCGAGTGAATAAAGAATTAAACATTTAATGTCATATATATATACAAACACGAACGAGGGATGTCCAACCTAACCTATAACGCCGTATATGAATCGTTTTTTAGAACATGCGTTCCGGAGTAATCCGTTCGGCCATCCTCGGTTCGCTGCTGTGGTCGATCGGCTGCTTATCGACGATCTCGGCTTACCGGATCTTGGCGTGCGAGCCCAGCCCCGGACACAGCCATTGGAATGTCATGTCAGCAGTGTTGGAGAGCTTGGTGGCCGCCGGTCACGAAGTGGTGTGCTTAACTCTGCATCCGGCCACAGACCTGTTGGTCACGCATCCCAACTACACGCACGTTGACATGTCGTCGTCGTTGGGCGACGGACAACTCCAAGCATCCAGGAACATGGAATACGCACAAGTGATGAGAATCTTCCGGTCGAACACGTTCATGGTGGGACTAGCCACCTCGCGGGCGCGGTACGTGTGCAAACACTTATCCGACATGCCGGAAATGCACGGCATACTGAACAGCGGTGATAAGTTCGACGTCGTCATTATGGAATCGCTGCATTCCGAATGCATGTCCGCGTTGCCCGACAGTCTGGGCTTGCCGGCCGTCTACGTGGTCCCGTCCTCGATGGTCAACTGGATGCCGATGGCCACGGGTTCCCCCGACCACCCGTCGTACCTGGGAACTCTGCTTACCGACCGACCGACACCCGAAACGTTCGGCCAACGGCTGGTAAACGCACTGGTATACGCGCACACCATACTGGTTCGGTGGTACAACGACGCAGGCCGCGACCACCGATGGCCGGAGCACCGGCACACCATGATGTTCGTCAACACGCACTTATCGATAGAACCGGGCCGGCCGATGGGACCCAACGTCCTGGAAATTGGCGGCATACACTTGAACCGGCCGCTCAAACCGCTTCCTAAAGTAAGTGTCTCATCGTTCGCCCGTTACCCCGGTCGTTGAGTCGTTTACGTACTGTGTTATACCGGTTACGCGGTTACGTTTATACAAAAAAACAGAAGGCCTCACTTTGTCCAAATTACACTGGAAAATAGTAAGCTTTGTGGAGCTTAATTTCTAAATTATTCTAGGTTGGTTATCCGGGAAAATTTGGACAAAGTGGAGGGGTATAGTGTGAAATTAGCTCTCCAAAGCAGAGGCGAACGCAATGAAATGGATGGAGGATCTGAAGTTAAGACTTCAGAGGTAAGCTAGTACTTCAATAAGTTACCAAGTCTACCCGTTTAATCATACATAAACTTATAACTATAATCCTATATAGTCATAGTATTAGTTTGTTTGTAATTATCTTATAGTTTATTAATATCTTTATCATTTTTATTGTAATTGTAACTTATTTTTTTAATCCGATAATGTCATAAGTAAAATAAATAGCTCTCCTGGTAAATTTTGGCTAGCCTTAATTTATGAATTCACAGACTTCCAAATCTACTTTAATTTGCTATTAATAATTATAATAATCACATATATATATATATATGTATTACGTTTTTTTAGACCATCGACACTGCATATTTGATTAATGTAACATAATTTTTCTCCATAATATTTATGTTGTAATATTGCGTCACATTGGTTAGGTTAAGTAAAAAATGTTGTGTCTACGCTATTAAGTTAATATGCAATTATTACAATATTATTCAAATTTTGGTAGCTGTATTTAATTTAATTACTTTTATCTAATAAACGTTGATCATATTTTTACTTGTCAAAAAGGTCCATAAAAATACCAAATAAATTATGTAAGCGTTCTCAACCTTTAAAAAAAAAAAAAAAATTATGACATTATTGTAAAACTAATTTTAATATTTTTAAAGTTATATTATAAGTGTTTTTGTTAATTATTTGGATATGTATTGTTTTCCTGAAGCATTTAGAAGATGTGATGAACAATAGTAATGAATTCGGCGTAATCGTACTTACATTTGGTTCTTTGGTGGCCATGGATACACTACCCGATTATGTATTAAAGGCGTTTAAAACTGTGTTAAGCAAACTTCCCCAAACGATTATTTGGAAGTACGAGGACGATCACATGCCTGACAAGCCAGAAAATGTGATACTGTGTAAATGGTTACCGCAACGTGCTATATTACGTGAGTGAAATAAAAATATTTAAAGTTATTCATATTCATTAAATTAATCAAAATTAATTGTTTATTATATTAATAACTAAATTTGAATATTAGCTGATCATTTAAAATCCAATCTATATTGTTTCAATTATTAAAATAATCGCAACATTACCCAATAATATTTTATTAAACTATAATTTTTTTTTTTTTTTTATTTAGCTGTTTGTAAGGGTTACGTTGTAGGTTGGTACGGTAGGTTGTATTTTTATGATTGTTACGGTTGATAGCAAACACGTGTATGTGTGGCAAGGTTTTTAACCACCATGATCCCGAGTGGTCACCCATCCGGGAGCTAGTAGCTGTGGCCGTTACTTACTCTCAGTCGCATTCCGCGACTGGTAGCAGCCAACGCGCCACGCCAAGCCACAAACTATAATTTATATATATTACTATGGTATAAATATTAAAAATTTATTTATATATAATTGAACAGTACTTGCTTAGGTAAATATAGATGTGTTGACAAAAGAGATTAAAACAACATATTACATTTTTTAGTCACGTATTAAAAATATGCAAAACAATGAAAATTCAGAAAAAATTAATAATAAGTATATTAATAATAAATTTTCAAATCCGTTTTGGACATTGCATTTTTAGAGCATCCAAACGTAAAATTGTTTATAAGTCATGGCGGGATGAGTGGAGTGTATGAAGTTGTAGACGCGGGAGTACCGGTACTTGGAATACCATTATTTTGCGACCAACCAAGAAACATTCAAAACTTAGTGAACCTCGGTATGGCTTTGTCTATAGAAATCAATAGCTTAACTCGAACAACACTATCTGAAGCCATAAACCGGTTAATCAAAGATCAAAGGTACTATTAACACTAAATATATTAATTTTATCGGTGGTATTCTAAACATCTAAATCATCAATAATTAAAAAAGAAAAAAAAGAAAAAAAAGTGGTATACTGAAATTGTATGAGCCAAGTAAATTGGCGTTTGTAATATTTATGTATTTTAAATATATGTGATATTTAAATTATAGAATTATCGCCATAATTATTTTTTAATATAATTTTACAGGTAACTATAAGAGGTTATGACTTATGATATATATCAAAAAAATGTTTATGTAGGCTATTTATATTTATTAAATTTGATTTTGATAGCAGATAAATATCCACATCTATAAATCTGTCATAATATTTATAACAATTAATAATAAGGACAAAGGATTTGTCATAATAAAACTACTTATTCGGTTCATAAATAAAATTATGATTTGTTTTTAAGAATAAATATTATCTTATCAATGACGGTTTTTATGGATGCAATTTCCTTTGGGACTTGATTTGTTATTTTTAATATTATGTAAATATTTTAAATGATTCATGGTAATATTAATAGTAAATATTATAACAGTTTTAAAATACAAAAATAATAAGCGTGAGATTAAAAAAGCGGGCAAGTGAGTACCGCTTTGCTGTACATTAGGGGGTGGGGTGAACCTCGGACTAGGGTAGGTTAAATTTGAATGCAATGATAGGTATCATTGTATACGAAAAACGATTCTGAACGGAGATGATTTGTCAGTCTAGGATATATTATATTTAAATATTGTCATACATTCTATTTTGAAACAAATATTTTATTTTTCAATTAGGACGTATTTGCAAAAGTCATGGTTAATCAATTAATTATTAATTTTTATGAATTATACCTACAAAATAGTTTGCAAATATTCATGGTTTTGACGAATTTTTGTCAATAATTGAATTTGCTTAATATACATGCTAATAAAAAAAATTGTGCTTATGTATTCTTAAAATTTTTTGATCACTATAAGAATAACTTATGAGGAACTTTGTATTAAATGTTCAAGTATTTTGATTAGGCCAAAAAAACTTTATCGACACTTCAAAAAAAAATTTTCAGAAAAATTGAAAATTTCAGTTGTCTATAAATAGCTCAAAAAAAAAGTCAAAATATTTTGAAAATTAAATCATGTAAAGAAAATGCCAATTTAAATAACTGGTAAAATTTTCAAGTATATCTACGACTTATACTTTTTGAATATTAACAAATATTTAAAATCGTTTGAGGATAAATCGTTATCGTTACGCTATTTCGTAAAAATTTAAAATTCAAACGCACTTAAAATTTTTCCTATAATGATGCTTCGAGTTTTTACTATAGCTACTTGAAGGAAAACTTAGGAAAAACATAGTGTAGTATTTTTAATCCTTAGTTATAAACACAAAAAATTTTATGATTTTTCAACTTCAAAATTACTTACGAATTTTCGCGTTTTCGATAGATTTCGTAAATATTTGAACTATAAACGTTAATAAAAAAAAATTGTGACTAACAATTTTTTTTAGCTACAATAAGAACAACTCATAAGGAACCTTGTATTAAATTTTCAACATTTTTTGGTCATCCAATATTTTTTTATCGACACTTCAAAAAAAATTCTCATAAAAATCGATAATTTCAGTGGTTTATAAATAACTCAAAAAAAGTCAAAATTAAACTGTATATAGATAACACTAACATAAACATTTGGTGAAAATTTCAAGTATTTACAGTGATTGGTTTTTGATTTACAACCATATAAAAAAAACGATTTGGTCGAAAACTGGTTTTGCGTAAAAATTCCCGTTTTTCCGTCATTTTTTTTTTGTTTTTCTCGATTTTTTTGAAAACTGTTGGAAAATGTTTACTTTTTATCTCTATAATGCACCAAGGATATTCACTTTGCCATCGGAAACCACCTCCGAAGTTTGAAATTGAAGCATTATTTCAACTACTTATGCTGTACACAGACACAAAAAAAAAAAAACAAAAAAAAACCACACATCATTGTAAAATCAATACATTCATCACTCCGTTCAGAATCTAAAACAATTATTTAAAATATATTTATTTTACCTTAACTGAATTTATCTCCTGTCCTCTCTAAAAGTTTTACCAAAATCACTACTGTGCAGTTAATCTGTTTTATAATTAATATTTAGTAAATAAAATCTAAATTTTCAAATAATATATCGCAGGTATCATTACCATGGTAGTGCGTATTCGCATTGTGCATGATGCACGTGTACAGGCTATTAAAATTAACTACATTTGAATCAAAGCGTTGAGTATTTTTAGAGAAGTATATATCATGGTATAAGCTTCCACTTAGAATACAATTAATTATTTTTAGTATATATGCACTGAGAATAACGTACACTAATGGGCAATGGTTAATAGCTATTAAACACGCATGTTAATGAAGCGCACACCATTATATTTGTAAATGTTGATATATTTTGATATATTTACCTACTTATAAAGTTTTACTTTTTACTTATATAGAAATAATGTAGCACCACATGAAGTGTTATTTTTCTAAGGTTTTTAAAATAATAGTTTTTTTTTTTTTTTTTTCATGATAATTATCACTCTTAATAATTCAAAATGAAAATATCTTTTTGTAAAAATTATATTCAACTGTAAGCAACTGGTAAAAACATAGAAGTATTTTTTTGTTTTCGAATAGTTTAGTTTTAGTAGCTTCCTTGCTATCTAGTAACTATTAACGTATAACGTTAAACAAGCATGAAATCGCGGTACGTATAAAAGATTAGTCCTCGTGTTACATCGGGGAGGTGTGAATAAACCCTTCACATGTCTCAAATAGATTCATATTATATATTATCAATTGATTATGCTACAATAAAGCCGGCGTAAAACAATATTGAGCAGTGAGCACACACATTTCATATTGTATGGGTGCGATGTCGTTGTTCTTGCACCCTTCACCTTTGGTATTCAGTCACGTGTTTCAGAAACTCCAAACGTATCATAGTCGGCAAACAAAACCTAACCGTAAACGCTGCGATGGTGGTACGATAACTCGATCTGCACACAATAATGGCCGAATAATATCAGCACAGCGCCTAACTACTAGAATGTGGTTTGGTTTACACTGATTGAAGCACCTATTGTATTAACTGCAGGCTACAAAACAAGAAGTCAAAACTTTAGTAGCATATTCTGAGACTATAGCAATAAATAATAATAATAATTATTATAATTTATTTAAATTAAAAAAAATAATAATATATATTGCAGTTATGTAACATATTATTATACAATCTTAAATGAGAGAAGGAGGGAATTCTGCGTTAAAAACATTATGTTCTACGGTGTGTGTTGAAAATTGCTTAAAATATGTTTCCAGCAACATAGTTATATAGCTAAGTTAGTAATCAAATGTATTTGTTAGCCACTGCAAACTGTAAATCGTAATGGACGTAAAAATAATTGTCCATGTGGTTTCATTATAATAATATACGATTTTTGTTACAGTATTATACCAAATAACATATTTTTGAATTTACTTATTTTAATATATTATTTTAGTTTCGGGAAAAAAAAAATCTACGAATATCAATATACTAAAAATATATAGACACGTAAAATAAATAGTTTGATTGAAAATTTGATAGGTGGAGGGGGGAGAGAATAGTGCTCAGCTTCTGTGACACAGTCTAAATCTACCTATCACGAGTAGATTGCAGACAATTATTTCATTCGCTCCTGCAGAGTGCAGGTATATTATTGTGTCGTACTATTGTGGTATACATTACAAAAATGTATACCGCTTATGTTCTACGTTATACACACCTATCATTTAGAATTTACCATCATATATTTATTATTATTTTTTAATGTTTATTGTTATATTACTTACATGTGTGTTTTTTTCTTCAGTTTTTCGGAAAATGCCAAACGGGTGTCGTCCCTGTTTCGAGACCGCCCCATGACACCCTCCGAATCCATTGTTTACTGGGTGGAGTATTTGATTCGACACGGTACTGAAGTCAATATTCAGCCCTTATCAGCCGACGCGTCGTGGACTAGCCACTTCATGTTGGACATATGTGCTGCACTGGCGGCCGCCTTGCTGACACTATGGTTCGTGACGCGCGCCATCGTGAACGTTAACAAATCCATTCCGTGCACTGTGAAATGATGTCCAAATATACAATTACGTGTGGTGAGGCAAAGATGATAATCGGGTTTTTTAAGAGGGGGCAATTGGGTGGGTAATAGTTTAGTAATAATTAGTAGGTATTTTAATATTGTCTATGACAGGTAAACACGAATATGACTTTAAATGTCTTTATTGGGTTTGGGTGAAATATTAAACTAGCCCTTGAAAAATGTAAAATTCACCATGCCTTTACGTGTACGAGAAATAAGTTTCGTATGTACACATGAATTTAAGATCGATGTGATTTTAAAGTTTACAATAAATATTCACAATTCACCATAAATATAAATATACTAAACAAATTAAATTCGATACCAATAAAAATTTGTAGTACCTACGTCTGATAGTTTCGAGAGTGATCGATAGATATTGTTTTAATAAACGCGTGTTATATTTAAATAAGTAATAATTTATTAATTTATAATTAATAAAAGTTACATACTTATAAAAAAAATGCAATTTAATAAAATACTGAATTACTCTATTCTGTGAACGCGTCTTAGTTCTTAAACTAATCACTCTATCTACCTCATCATGAGTAAGTTTTGTACTAACTTGCAGTGGGAAGTGGCCACTGTCTACCAATGTCTGTCAACAGAAGTGTTTGCATTTTATGAATATCAGTACACATAGTATATAACCTACGGACCATAAGTACATCATCAGCATATATTGTTGAAAAAATTATCGAGCAAAGTCCATGATAGTGAATTTTACGATGAAACGATTGTACCCCTTACTAAAATTAAATAAAAGAATAAAATTAATTTTATATTCCGAGCTATTCTGAATACGAACATTATAAGCAAAGGTTCATAATCGTGCGTGCGGGTATGTTTAAACTGAAATCTTATACTCGTATACATATTTTGGATTACCGACAGCATCGTCTATACGGTAAAGTATGAATATAGTAGTAATTTATTTTTAAAACTAACACGTATACGTGCGTTAATTAGTATTTTAAAACATATTAATATATTATTTCTATACCTATTATTATAAGTCGCACTTTCACTAGGGGGCGGTTTCAGAGACGTGATTGGGAAGGAACTAAGTCATAACGTTCAGAATAATATCATAAGGTAATAAAATAATTTATTTTATTACAGTATATATTTTATAATATATATTATATATAGGTACATACTCCTAACTGGTCACTCGTATATAATTATATGTCTGTGTAATAAATTTAATGTAATATGTGATATTATTTATAATCATTTGTGATTACCAAAAATAAATTTTTAACCCACTCACAACTGCTCAAACCAAAGCGTTTATACGACGGTGTTGTGGTGACGTCATCGCAGCTCACCATAATGGAAGTTAGATTTACAGGTAATTGAAACCTGGTTGAAATCATACAATATCATTTGTAATAATTTTTAACCACAAAAAATCAATTTATAACCCACCTATAACCACTGAAATTCATCCCTTCGGCGTACCAAAATATCCTGTATCTAGAATATGATCCTTTTTACTTAATGGTATTTGTCATTTGCTTTATATTTTTAGTAATTAGTACTTAAATACGTTATATTGCTCGCTGTTACACTTACTATTTTTGTTATTGTATAAAATAATAAATTTATTAATTAAATAAAGTATGTCGAAAAAACTGCTATCAACGCAATGTGTGTAGATAATATAATTAGTAATTATTTTTTATCTCCTTAAATTTATATGTAACTTTACTGTATGGTTAAATCTATCCAAAACAAAGTATTTTTAAAATAAGATTATGACTATAGATAATTTTAAAGTCTTAACATTTTACATAGCTATATCTAATTTTAAAATTAAAACGTCAATAAAAGCTCACGCGATGCCTTACATAATATTTTTACCCTTAAGTTTGATAATAATTTAAAAGTCAATTGGCTCTAGTATTAAAGCTACTGCATAAAATGGATTTCTGCTGAACGCGAATTTGCTATATTTTACATTAGTAAGACGGAGACAGCACATGCTAGTATGGTGTCCTCTTAAGCTCCTGTAGCAGTGTATGGTAACAGATTATGTGACTAAGTTGGAATATTTGACTAAAACTCTACGTAAAACAAAGTTAATTGTCAATATTATATAGTATAGTTGTATTATTTTATATTATCGAGTAAAATAAAATTATTAAAGCTGTCATTAAAGTTGTCTCAAACTCATTGACGACCGACCATGGATAATGGCAAACATGAAGTTCCATCCGCACATTTGATCTACATTGTGATGATGGGAGTGCGTCTATAATATTTTTAATGTGGTTCGTGTTATGATTTTAATTATTTTTATTGTTATTATTTTTTTGTGCTATGTATAAAAATAATTTTAATATGTTAATAATAAGGTTTAATGAATTTATTTATAAAAGTATCTTATATTTATTTTAATAAGGTGAAAATCAATTTTAAAATTGATGTAAAAATCATTGTAAAAAATGTGTAATTTGTAGGGTAGTTATTTTTTAATTATCATAGATGCTATCGAAAATTTTGACATTTAGAAAATTATAACAATTATTCCTAATAGCGAAAGAAAATGATATCATTGCCCATTAAATGTTATCATTTTCTAATAATATCAGGCAACGATGCCATACACATCAGACATCAGTACATCACCATACCATTTTCTTTTTTAAATATTATTTTCATCAAACATAATTATTAATTATTCCAATAAATAAACAATCAAGCAAATTTTTTTTTTTATCAATTTAATTAATGTAATTTAAGCATTTTTACACTATTGTATTGATTTTTGTTTTCATATGAAAAACTTTAATGAAATTAAGAATTTTAAATTCTAGATGCCGATCTGCATGCATATCTGATTGTCTTCTATTTTATTTTATATTGATATCGGGTATATTCCTGTGCTATTGAAATACTATTTACAGTAGTTATCTCCCAAAGTGATATTGGTTTTTCTGCGTAGCCTGTTTTTTAAAACAGTAGTTAGATTCAATAAATTTGCTTTGCGTGAATTTATTTCTGATCTCGTATACATATTATGTTTAAAAAATGTACTTTCAGTGCCTATACAATTAAAGAAAAAAAAATTTTATCTATATGACATAAAAATACTAGTGTAATTCATACATAGCTTGTAAAAAATCTTCATAACTTCTATTATTACCGCTAAATGTTAATAAATTTATTGGTGATCCGAAAACACTGTGTACATCAAGAATGTTCAGACGTACTGTAGTGCCAAAACTGTTTTCATATTTTCTAAATTTTGTACAGATGATTGACATGCTATAATTATATTTTGTTTACGTTCATTAACTAATTAAAAATATTACAGTGATTATTATTTTTTTAAATGTATTAAACTATTGCATTTTATTTTTTTTAAACCAAGTTTTAATTAGAACTTAAGTCATTGGTACGTGATTTGTATTTTTCGACTTCTTTGATAAATATATACGACAGGCAGCTATGTGGAAATGTATTCTATAGCTAAATTGTGTGAAGATAACAGCTTTTAGTATGTCACCTTTACGAGTTAATAATACACGTTTTAATAATAAAGCCAGTACAATATTATAATCACCAATGCTTTCGTATATTTTAACTTAAAGTTCATATTAATTTTAAATATTAAATTAAGAATAAGGATTGTCTAATAAATTATGGAAATAATATGATTTCTTTCTGCTATTAGGAATTTTCATCATTTCCGGTAACATATACACACATTAACCAAAATTAAATAAATGGTAAGTATATTTTTATAAATTTAAATACCTAATGTATATTATAAATTTTTATTAGTTTTTATTTTGTTAAGATAAACTAATAAGAACATCAATTTTTGAAACTTCCAAACAAATTTTCCAATTGATATATACTAAAAACTATAAGAATTACCATCTAATACTTATAATAGTAAAAAAAAATACGTGCAAAACTAAAATAAAGTCATTAAACCTTGGAGTATACTTGTGTCTTACAAAAGGTAGGTATTATGTAAAATTGATTTATTTTTGATGATAAAATTTCTTTGCTAATACAAATTAAATGTGTACACAATTCTTTAAATTTAGTAAACATTTAAATCTTTTATATTTTATTTTAACTTTTTCTTTTAAAAAAGTTTTTTTTTTTAATTGCCTTAATAAAACAAAAAGTATACCTTCTTTTTCGTCGTTTGTTAATTTTGTTTTGCTTTTTAGCAGTAGTGCTGGTGAGCCATTTAAGTTTTTTTATAAAAATATCAAGCTTATTTTCAAATTTATTTTTATATTTTTTGTTATTATAGTTTACAATCAGCAACCCATAAAAAATATTTTTTAACCTATGTGTTAGGAAATTTACACACTAACGTTTTTAATATACTTAATAATTTATTATCTTAAATATTTATTGCAAATTTATTGTATAAATCATAATAATTAAATATTAAATAACAAACAAAATTATTTACAGATTTAATTTAAAACAATAGATGATTTACCATATTTTGACTGTTTACGTATTTATAATTTTTCATTATTATAAAATAATATAATAAAATGCAAACTATTTAGTAATAATTATGAATTATAAAATATTTATCTGAATTTAAAAATAAATATATTATCCATTGGTAAATCACTAAAAACCTAGGGTTCCATTTGGGTAGTAGCAGTATACCCTTATTTTTCTTTGTTTTATTGGCCTGCAATAAAATTTACAAACGCGCCGACGGCTGAAGCATAAATGTTGAAATGATGAAAATCATTATACATCAACACGTATAATATTAAAATATACATGGAGGTAATGTATATTTATTATTTATAAATATAAATTATATTTATGCACGGCAATAGCTATTTCCAACTTAGATAAACCTTCAATCTCATAAATGCACCATTTATACATGTAATACATGTTTAAATATGAAGAAAAAAAAAGTTGAGTGATGATAAAACAAATTTTATCTGCTTAAATTTTGACATCATGTACACTATAAGTATTAAGTAGTTAACAAAATTCTTCGATTTTAAAGTTTGATGGTGGTTTTGGATAGAAAATAAGATATAATTTGTACTTTTGTAAGATCTAATTAAAAAATTCCCAGTATTTTTCAAAATAATCAGAAAAAAAATAAAAATAAAAAAAAAACAGGAAATTTTTACGCAAATCAAGTTTATGAAAAAACTAATTTTTTTTTTTTTTGTTCTATTGTAAATCTATAATCAATAACTGTAGATACGTGAAATTATTACTAAATATTTGTTTAATAATTTCCTATACATAGTATAATTTTATAAATATTTTGAATCTTTTTGAGATATTTATAGACATTTAAAATTTTCTCATTTTCAAAAAAATATTCTTTTATAATCCTTCAATTTTTTACGACATTGTATCATATTAATTCGTAAAATAACTAATAACCATAAATATTTGAATTTTTGGCCAAATTTTTAAATGTTCATTTTGTAGACATGATAAAATTTTCAATTTTTTTTAATTTTAATTTCAATGAGTGTTAATAAATACGTTTTCGTTCAATCAAAAAACTTGATAATTTAGCACAAAACTTACATTAGGAAAAATTTATGTATATATACTTATATATATACATAGGTTAGGTTAGGTTAAGTTACAATGTTGACAAAATTCATCAAAATGATAGAAATTTGAAAATTGTTTTACAGTTAAAACTTTATAAAATATGAAATTTCTATAGCTTAGACTTGAAAATGTAGTACAAAGTTCCTCATAAGTAGTTTATACTGAAACCAAATAATCTAAAAAATGTATAAAAACACTATTTTTTTTATAGAAATTTAAGAACAAATTTACACGAAATTATGTATTCAAATTATGAATAATTACGATATTCGTATTTTTGTTGTAATTTAAAAAAAATATTTATTGAGATATTGAAATTGTACGTATATAATTAAAGTTACTAACTAAAACATTTTCAAATGAAATATTTTTAACAAAAATTATTTCAACCTATTGTATTACGATTTACGAATTGTTAAATAATTTACTTTAAGAGCAATATCAAAAATTATTACATAAAATATACTTAGTGATATTTTTAACTCACAGACCGTCTCTGTTCAGAGTAGCTTTTTATATACAATGATACACTGACCCACTATACACCTATTGAACAGCAAAATGGTACCCACATTCCCACCTATTTTTATCATTAATTTTTTTTCGTAGTGTCGCCTACTCAAATTCAATAGAGTAATTTTATAGACCTCTATAATAAAAAGGTTAGGAATCACTGATGTATAAAATACAATAAATGTAAATACATACTAGATGCTATTAAATAAGCGAACTATAACATATATTAATAATAACACGTGAAATAGGTGCTATCAATACTATTATACGTTATAAAAATAGTAGAGAAACTAAAATCATGAAATAAAGATAAAAATTTAAAATAGTTCATCAATAATATTTATATGAATAGGTTTTCGTTTAATAATTATAATTTATAATTATAGAAGCCAAAATTCAGATTGTAAAATAAATAATTTTAATCGAATCTTTTTTTGTTTTTTTGTTTTGGTGTTGCTGTTCCTACATACGTTTCAGAATACAGCTATTTGAATAGGTTCTGAACTTTTATCCCTACCGTTTTGTATTAATTCGACAGCATGACTAATACCATGATCAATTTACTTCTAGATCAGAGAGGTATTTTTAGTGGTGGGGGTCTATATTGAAACCGGTACTATAATCGTTCTTGAGTTGTGTGCGGCCATTTAGTGCAATATTTTCGTGAGCGATTCTCGCACGCATGGAGTATAATAAGATTACAAATTAATCGAAAGCATTAATTAGATGAATTAATAAATTATATTTTTCTACTTTACAGTTCTCTGATAATACACTAAGGTCAGTTTTAGCTAAATCACATAACTATAAACAGCCGCATAATTAATTCATTAAAAATAAAACATTAACGTACGTAGATTATAATGTCAATTTTCACTGAGACAAAAATTATAGGTAATATTTTAATTTTCAAAAATTTTCAAGACAAAATCGACTCAATATTTACTATATATAAAAAAGTAATAAAAACACAAGCATTTTAGTAATTCAAATAAAACTGTTGTTTGTGTGAAATGGATTATACTACAATATTTAATATTTTCTAACAGTATCGAAAATAATATGACCGACTTCTATAAAAATAAAATAAATATTACAACCATTAAATTATTTTAATTATATAAATTAAAACAATAAAATATCAGTTCATAGTTATGAAAGATAATTTGCTTAAAACAATAAAATTATATTATATCTAACAATAATATAAATGTTTTTACTTTTTATTAAAAACTATTGCTTAATTATTGTTTTGATTAATATGCTAATTTGTATGCCTGTGGTTTTAGATGAACACGAAATGTTTACTTTGGATATTTATCGGACTAATAACTACATACACGATAAATGCCGCAAAAATCTTAGCCTTCACGCCAATAGCTGGAGCCAGTCACTGGAATGTTATGAGCTCTGTACTGGAAGTACTATTAAATCGGGGCCACTCTATTACAGTAGTGACGCCATTTTTAAGAAAAATACCACATGAAAATTACACTGAAATTGACATATCTAAACTTGTACCGCTAGCAATAGGATCATCTTGGAAAACGGTAAAAACGATTTGAAAATATTATTTGTGCTTAATTATAATACCTTTGTAATTGTATAAATATATGTATCAGGTTAGTGTATTAAATAGTTTTTATAAACTGCATAGGTTTAAAATAACCACATAATATCACTAGAAACTAAGGCATATTTTAAATAATAGTAAATGGTTGAATATTGAACATTATAACATATTATTGTGTATATATTAATCAATTATTACGTAAATAAATGTGTTTAGTAAGTTGTAAATCATAGTACCTACTCGTATGATCTTTCTAATTTTTAATTTTTTTTTTTTTTTTTTTGTTTATTTGATATATTTTATGGCATAAAGCTTTAGGATTTAATTCTATGTTCCTCATAGAATCGTTCCTAGACCCATTATTATATGAGAGAGATCTTAAGGTTTAAACATTAAACATTACTAAACTGTGTACTGTGTATTTTAAAATTCATAATTATTTGTATAAAAATGTTTTATGAGGACGTTGTATCCGCATATGCCATCACTGTCTTATTAACTCTTGAAATACCACATTTTAAATTCAAAATAGTCTATATTAATCTGTTAGGTTTTTTTTGTATTTTAATTTAAAATAAAGGTTAAAGTTATGAGTATTCTAAAATTAAAAAAAGTTAGTTTTAAAATAACCATAATTTGTTTTAAAATTAAAACTTAAAAAAAAAAGCTCTTGGTGACTAAAGAAGCTTTAAATAATATACTTATCTTTAAAATTGATAAGTGATAAGGATAATCAATCGAATAAATCTATTATAAAAAATAGTAGAATAAAATATATTATTTTGAACCTAAAATTGTGGATGTTGTGCGATAATTGGATGGAGGTAACACATACAGATACAACAAACTCTTAGGAATTAGGAAGTTAGAATTATGGATAGAAAATTTTAACCATATATTTAGGTTATATAATAAAGTAAAATACTTTAAAATATATATATTTGTTGTATATTACCTATTTATATATACAAATGTTATCAATATTTATGTAATCGCTAACAACTTCAATTACAGACGTTCCCGGTTCCTCAAATAGATTGTCTATTAGTTATAAATTACTTATAATTCTTTCAGCGGATCTAACGGTCTAAAAATATGTAAAGTAACAATGGATATATTTTTATTTTTTTTATAGACTTTCAAAATTTTAAATTTTACAAAATTGGATGTTTAATCAAAAAATTAAGACTTTTTCTGACAATTTTAGTTATTTTGTTTTAATTTAAAAACTATTAATCGTATCGGGGGCTAAAAACTTTTCATCGATACGCGCATATTATTTTATATTAATAGGCAATAGGCATAATTTATATAAATAATAATAGTTATAATACATGTAGAGATGTAGTAATAATAGTAGTAAGTTATGTCGGGTTATTTCTTGAACTTTTACTTGTGTATATTAAAAATTAAAATCATTGAATTCAGAAATATTTTGTAAGTTATAAACAAAAGTATTAAAACTAAAATATCTAGCTAGAAAATCTCTTACAAATTAACATATTTATTGTCTTTAATCAACTTCGACTTATTAAAATCACTCATTTAGTAACCCTTTAACTGTTTAAGAGTATAAAAATATTAATTTAAGGTTCTATAATATAAATGTATTCTCTGGTTATTAAATATAATTATGTAGGTAATGCAGTATATTATTTAATATCAAAAAATTATATACTTAGTTTCTTATTTATACATACTTATGTTGTATAATTTACAATTGTAATACAGTACCTACTTATCATAAAAATATAATATGAATATTAAAAACTACTAAATTACGTCATTGACTTTATTAAAAGAATAAGTTTTTCAGTGATTTATAAATATGTACCAAATAATATATTAATAAACTTACCTTATTCTTAGATATTTGCATTGACTGGCACAATTGTAATAATTGTATTTGTGACTGCCGATTTGATGGTGTTATGATGTCATAATCTTTTATCTAAAAACATAAATAGATTATTAATTACCTATTACAAAGTTAGTAAAAAGATTCAATTAATTTAAAAATTTACTCACTTGAAGCAGAAATAGTAATATTTGATTTTTTTTTTCTTCGCTCAATTGTAATTTTGTCAATATTGATGAATGCTTGTACTAAAACAGGTAAATTTATTTTATTAAATAACTAATGAGCAAGTTTTTGTTACATCACTAGTATTTAATAAGAAATATATTTATAATTACATAGTATAGGTTGATATCATAAGATGACTTAAAAAATTGGGTGTCAACTAGATGTGTACCGCGATAAAAATTTCTTCCTAGTTGCGGCCCACATTTTTTGGGAAACGTATGAATTGTGGCTTAAAAATTTTATTAATTAAACATTTTGAAAAATAAAATTATAATGCTAAATTAAATTTTCCTTCCCATTTTTGTACAGACTTAGAACTGTCTGTAGTGGTCAGTAAGTACTATAGGTAGGTTAAAAATGTTATTTTTTTTTAAATTAATAATATGGTAAAAACTTATTTGTTAATTTTTAGGTTAAAAATATTATTTTGATTTTATTTAAAATGATACATTGTTATGTAGATATATATAAAAGATATTTTTAATTCATGTTATTATCTTGAAATAAGAAAAATCAATACGTCATAATGTTATAAGCCTATGTTATGTGATTACTCACTGTCATTAAATTATCGAACGAGGACCAATAATATTATATAGGTATGATAAATAAGACTACAACTTAGATATAACTCAAAAAACTCTGGTTGAAACTAGTCTACACCTCCCCCCCCCAAAAAAAAAAAACTAAAGCCGCAATTCAGATTAGATCTTTTTTTGTATAAATCTTTTGGGTGCGCAACTAGTATGTAGCTGAAAAATTTTCTGTTGAATTTATCTACACGAACCTATATAATTTTGGAAAATATTTTACATTGAGTTGATAATTTATTACCATTAACTTGTAAAACTTTGTGAAATTGTCCATCAAATAAATAATGTTTTGAAAATAAAATAATACATCAGTTATATATTTCATCGTTTGATCGATTTTGCAGCCTATATTAGTAGATGTAACTGATGTAGGATCGTCAATAATCTCATTTGGTATAACCACGACACTCGAATTTGATGAATCATCATTTTTCTTGTTTAGATAATTCACTGAACTTGTAAAAAATTGCTCCATAATTTTTTTTGAATAATGCATGATAAATACAGTTGAAAATTTTAAATAAAAATTTTAAAATTTATAATATTTTAAACTATTCAGTAAGTTTGTTTAGACTACTCTTGTATGATTAGTCTGTTACTTTGTTGAATGTTGAGTGCAGATTGTCGAGTGTCGACTGTGTCTGGCGTCTGCTATAGACTACGATTATTTTATACATACGTACCTATTCACTATATTTTACTATTTATAGAAATTTTCATTCCACTTTTTTAATGAAGTTTGGTAATTAGAAAATGAGCTTATTTCTGGGTAAGTGATTTATACTGTTATAAATATATTGTTAATAGTATTATTAAAAAACAATAAATAATAATTTTTCATGTATTCATATGGCTTCAATTACGTAAAATACCGATTATACCCAAACTTAATTAAAATTTCCAAAAAAACGTTGTTGACCTGCATCGGTTCAACGTGTGTCAAAAGTCGCAATTAAATAAGTTTAGCTCTAATTGAATAGCTCGCCACTCAAAATAAACTAAAAATAAATAAATGATACTATAATATGTATAAAATGTAATTACACTAAATAATAATGATGATTTTTCCATTAATCAATCATAGCAAAAGAGTTACTATTGGGCCGGAGCTATACACGGCGTATTCGTATATAGATATGTAAAAACGTTAATTGATTTTTAAGTAATGAGTTGGATGAATCAATGTGTAAAGTAGTATTTAAAAATTGTGTTTGTTACATACGTAAAATCTATTATTCGTGTAGTCTAATAGATGGTAACGCGCATATATTAATATCGTGTTTATCAATTGTCGCTACGTATAGTATAAGGTTTAACCATTCTTGGTTTAATATTTTGCTAAAATGTGTTATCCCATAATACTTTCCACTGAATCATGAAATCGGTTTTTCAAAAAATGTCACTTGACAAATATTTTTATATAATTAATCTTTTGACCATAAATAACCATATTTCGAGCAACTACGACAATAACTAATACACTTAATGAAGTAAAACACATTTCAGGTGATCGAGGTGTACAAGCCCCTTTCGGAATGTCTGAAATTTCTAAACGACGTTCATCTGAAAACGTGTGACTTAATATTCGACCATCCAAACCTCCAACGCGCGCTACATGTGGGGCATTATGACCTCGTAATCACAGAGTTGCTCGGCTCTCGATGTGACTTGTACTTAGCCAACTACCTGGGTGTACCACACATAGCCATCGTCTCCAGTCAGATGATCACCTGGTATCAGGATTCGTTCGACAGCCCGTCGAACCCATCGTACATCTCGAACTTGCAATCGCCGTACTTAAAGCCGGAGACGTTCGTCCAACGGTTTTGGAACTTTATCGACTATGCGATTATTTGCACATACTTCAAATACATAGACACTGCGGCCACGGTGATGGGACGTAAATATTTCGGCGACAGCAGGCCACACGCTGAAGTCTTACTCCGTAATGTATCAATGGTGTTCCTTAACACGCACTCGAACTTCGATTTGGCCAAACCGTTGGCGACCAATTTTAAAGAAATTGGAGGCATCCACTTGAAACCACCCAAACCATTGCCCACTGTGAGAATGCATTTAATTAATTCTAGGACTTATAGTAGCCTTAAAGTTATAATTTTAAACGTTATACACTTTACTTATATCATAAAGCAATATTATCCAACTCTAATCCTAGTGGTTGATTGGTGTTTTAAATTTATTTTCAATATCACAATAAAGATAAAATTTTACGTAATTATACCTGTATTATAATATATTAGTACAGTACATATTACTACAATGTGCTCTCGATATCCGTGGAATAGAATTTAATTCAAATTGAAACAAAAGTTCAATATTTATATTATTAAAAAAATAAATCTTATAATGCTGTATAATTTTTAAGAAAAGTGAAATAAGAACACCGGCCCTGTAATAAAATATGTTAAAACTGAAATCAGGTGACTAATACGAAGTTTTATTCAATACATGCGCCTATCACAGTAGACAGCAATGCGTTAATGCATGGTGAAGGGGATATGTGTTTGTGTGTGTGTATGTGTATCGGTCAATATATTTAAATGAAAATTGCAATAATGTAGCAGTACCACACGTGTAGGTACTAGGCCTAAGTAACGATCAAATGCACTTAATATATACAACCCGCGTTATCGAGTTATCGGTTATCATAACCCAATTACACTTATTCTTAGAATCTTTGAATGTATATAATATAATTATGGATTATGTTAAACAACATTATTTTTTTTTATGTGTACATGGTCCCGTAAAAAACCATGGATAACCTACAAAGCGGATAATCGAAAGTATATTGTATATAAAACATAAGAAAAAGTTAATAAATAAAAGATACAGCATTTTTGGAAAATCATAAAAATTAGCTGTAGATATCAGTTACCATAAGGCATATAGGTAATAGGTGATAAAAAAAACTGAGTATATCAATATTATTATTACAAGTACTATTCTTTATCAAAATAAATATGTACAATAAAATATAAAATTTTTGGTAAAATAATAATATTAATGCATTTTTGAAAATATATAAATATGTTCAATAAAAATAATTATTTTAATTTAAATGTACGCTTTACAACTTATTGCCTTTTGGAATAAATATTGAAGGGTTATTATTTAATCAGTTTCAAAAGTAAGGTATGAAATTTTTTTTTCTCACCAACTTTAGCCTCAATGACTTAATCCAAATTTATTTCAGAAAAAATTATATAAATATAACCATATTGTGTCCGTAGTTAATTAATGATAGATATGAATTTCATCTAGTTATATTTGTTAAATAAAACCAATTTTATAACATTTTGTGAGCAGTAAAGAATAATGAAAAAATATGTTGTAAAGTAAAATTAGTTTAGTGTTTATACAACTTAAGTGAGTACCATTTTTTTAAATGGAACTTATGAATGTTGAATAAACAAAATAAAAAGTTACACATTATGATAGTTTTTAATATAAAATAGAAAGAAGGATAAACTTGAAAAAAGTATCTATAATTGAATACTAAAATATTTTATTGATGATAAAATAACAATAATTAAATTATTTTTAGTTCTATAAATGACGGTCACAATAAAAATGATAAACTTTATAAAACCTCTGCTAATTATTATTTTATAACTAATACAACGAATACCCACAAAAATATAAAAAAATATACAAAAAAAACTTTAAATTCTTCATTTAATTTAAACACACTGATAATAATATTACGTTATAAAAATTACAAACAAGGATACTTTGTACTTATAATGGCTATATACCATATTTAAGCATAGAAAATTAAATAGATAGTTTTTTTTGTAGTATTCTATAACAAAATTTATTTTTAACAATTTATTTTAATTAATAATGATAATTTTATAAAAATAGTCATTCATGTAACATTCAGAAGATAATCACAGTTTTATGTTACAAATTTGATCATATAGGATCTGGAAGAATTTATCAACAACTCCGAACATGGCGTAATATATTTCAGTTTGGGGTCCGTGATCAGGATGGAAGATTTACCAATTAATATACAACATGGACTCAAAGAAGGATTCAAAGAATTACCTCAAAAGATTTTATGGAAATTAGAGTCAGATAAGCCAATTATCGATTTGCCCGAAAACATAATCACAAGAAAATGGTTTCCTCAGTATGATATTATAAGTAAGAATATTTTTATTTGATCAATAAATAATAATTACTTGAAATGCATAAAATTTGACTGAATAGTTATTGATTGAAATGATATAATACCTATAACCGTTCACATTAATAAAATTTTATAATCTTACAATCTATTATTAGTATAATAGGTAATAAATCATTTAAAGTAGTTCTTAAAGTATAAATAGAGTTTCATAAAAAATACTGGTATTTAGATTGATTTAAAATATAAAATATAATATGTTAATCACATTTAATAGGATATATTAATATGTTAATAGTAAATCTCAAAGTATTAATAAAATACCTACCTACCTACATTGAAATACATATCTACTGTAGGTTTTTTAATAATTTAAGCAACATACATTTTTTTTATCAAAATGTATATACATTTAAATACATAGGACCATAGTATTTTTTTTCTCTAAATAAACTTTTTTATGAAAAATTTTCCCTGTTCTATTATATTAATAATGCCATATAAATTACAATACTTTTTAACTTATATTTTAAGTTTGTTTTATTATGTAACCAAAAAATTAATTATCATATTAACTTTATAAAGCTTTAAGGTTATCACATAAACATCTTAAATTATGTCTTAAGCCCTTATAAATTATGAATAACTATCTACTGTTATCTTGAACAAGTAGTCAATAGTATTTCTGTTGATACTTGAACACCGTTGTACTTTATATATAATTGAGTATTTACTAATTATCTTCCTGGAAACAACATCCATTATTCATTTAAGCAAGGCATTGAAAACAAAAACAACAAACGATTACACATTTCATTTAAATTTCTTGTATGAGTAAAAAAAAAAAAATGTATAAAGTTTTAAAAGTTTTGAAATTCTTGCACATATGTATGTGTATATTTTTGTTATTTAAAAATAGTAGGGTGGCTTTTACGTGGGTATAAATTTAATGAGATAAAAGAACAAGTTTCAAATAAAAGTTTTTTACCGTCATAAATAACACATAAATAGGAAATGTTTTCCCGGTAAATGTTCTTATGGTTACAACATTAAGGGGAGGAAAAAGGGTTATCAGCGTTCATTCGTGTATGAAGCGCATTGATTTTACAATAAATTTGAATTGCGCGTCGGAAATCTGGACAGTACCTATTACCTATATATTCTAGTTCATAATATTACTTATGTAAGTAGTATTATACGTATATGTACACAAACATTTTTTTTTTTAATCAGACTAAACTTATATTCTATTTAGTGAGTTATGGGCACCTTAGAATCTATCTGGGGTTCTCTAAGATAATAATATCTAGCGATGGAGGTAGCAGTGTTTGGAAAGATGTAAAAATATTATGTTTACCTTTACATTAGATTAATTTAATATTAATCATTAAATCGTTTTAATAGTGGAATACAAGTATTACGTTAAAAATAAAATATAATACATAATAATATACCTTATGTAACACTAATAATTATTTCTACCTTATTATTTCTTAGATCTATGGTTATAATTCGATCGTAATGGTTAATAATGAAACATTACGTGTTATTTTTCCTCAATTATTTTATTAAATATCATAAAATGGCTGTGTTCTTTCGTTAAAAAACTCAACTTTATATCTCATAAAATCACTTCTCTTTGTTTTCAAGTCAGCTCGAATTCTACGAAAACCTTGTTAACTAAACCAACTTTACACTTAACATATAAAATTTAAACATTAAATACAAAATTCTTCAAAAGGTTTCTTTTAATGGAATTAAAAAATAGTTTGTACATTTTTTATGAGTTATTGAAGATTAAATGTCGAGACTATAGAAATCCATACGTGAAATGGTGTTTTATCATCAAACTATCTTTTTTGTTTTATTGTAATACAAAAATCATACGATCTTTAAACATTATTACACCATTACTTTAATTATCATTTTCTGTACACAATAAAATTTTATAAAAATTTTTTAACTAACTTTAAGTTATTAATAGGAATTTAAAATTTAAAATTTTATCTCCTTCACTGATAAATAATAATGTTAGTATAATTTAAAAAAAAATTCGATTTAATTAGGAACTCCGAATTAGGTACTTAAAACTTGCTTAAAGAAACAAAACAAGTGGAATAGGTCTCGTGAGGATAAAAATAAATGATAGTAAGCAATAAAATGATTTTCTTTGTATAGGGTACCATCTCTCAAATTCAAATTAAAAATAATCTATTCTCTAATGAATTATAATAGTTTACAAATTCCTAACTTGTTATTTATATCGCTTAAAATTAATCTGTTTAGATAAATAGAACACAACATATTTATTATTTGTATAGCCAGCAATTGAGTTTTGAATTGTGAAGTGGAGACTAGCAGTTATTTCTACATTTTTTTTAACAATATTTAAATTGTTTCACCAATTATATATCAACTTACCTATAGATAAATCATAATAATCAAATCGTTCAAATCGTACTTTCCTACTCCTGCGATTTTAAATATATTACCCTAAAGTACAAGTTTACTTTTGTGATAGTATACTGTATAATATTACATTACTATTCCAATTATTAAATTAACTTTTGTATAAGTTACTATATTGTGTTCGATTGTATTAGTTTATGAACGCTGGATCATACGTTTTTAAGACCTGTAAAATATAATTTAGAAAATTTTATTTATATCAGTCCAACAACCCGGTTTGTGAAGTGAAAATAGCTAACTAACTATTCTCTTGTTAAGATTAGGTATAAATATCGATAGTCACTTGGTTTAAACTACGAAGTTCAAAGGAGGTGAGTTAAATAGTTAGTTAATAATAAACACTTATAAACCTTGATAAAAGATTAATCTTGGTCTAACCATGTAAAAATAAGACCAAATCTTTTAAAATAAAACTTCACAAGCTTCGACACCTTCTTAAATCAATATTCCACTTCACACCAAACTCCTTCTTGGTATAAAAAAAAAATCCGTCCTGTGACAACTAACAGTCTAACTATGGGGTGCAGTTAAAATATCAATTATCAGTAAGCCCTTTAGTCTTTTCAATCACTATACATAAATGCCTTCATATTAATAATATGATATGATAATATCACAATTACCTTTTAATACGTTAGCCACTTGTCTTTATAAATCCAAATATGGGATATCTTAGTCCGGAGATCTTAATGATTATACTTTTCAGTCTAAAAAAAATAAATAAATCAAAAAAAAAAAATAAAAATTTGAAGTACTATTAATGGATATCTATTTCAATCAAGTCATCCTAATTATATGTGTTTTTTGTTATACGTACTTTTTATTGAAATTAAATATACAGATTGTAAATATTTTCTTCCTGGATGATAATAATAATAATAATAAAAGATACATCGAGGAAGTCATGTTTTATTTTTTTCACATTTAAATAGTTCTGTATATGTAAAATGAAAATAACAAATAACTTTGTATTGGTCTTAGTTTACTATGTTTTGTAATTTACTAACGTGTACAAACTCAATGTTTTTATTTATATTGTCTTTGTGTTTAATATGATTGCTTCTAATCTTTAATTAACATTTCAGGACATCCAAATGTAAAACTTTTCATAACACATGGTGGTAATTCTGGTGTTATCGAAGCGACTAGTGCAGGCATTCCAGTACTTGGCTTTCCTGTATTTTTTGATCAACCAAGAAATTTAGAACTATTCAAACATTGGGGTTCCGGCTTATTCGTAGACTACAATAATTTTACAAAAGAAGACTTTGTATACAAGATTAAACAGATTATAAGTGATAAAAGGTAATATAAATGTTGTTATCATACAAACATTTATGCCAAAATAATTATTATTATTAATAGTAAGCTATATTTAATACCTATGAATCTCCATCGACTTAAAAATAAGCATATAAAAATCTAAATTTTTTTTTGTAAAATTAGAAAATACACACTCGATTAGCAAATCGGAGTACTGTATCTCTTCGATTACGGGATTCCCAAAGTTAAGAAACGTATACCTACCTATCAGTAACCTGAAGGGTATAAGCAGTATATTTCTCTTGGTTACAAAATAATGAATACTAAATACTCAATTTCTGATTATTATCAATTGATATAAATATTAAAATATATTATATATTGTTTTATTACAACTATTACTTAGGTATCTAAAAGTTTATTATTTATTAGTAGTTAAAATAATAGGTATATAATTTCAATCAAATGAAATCAATTGTATACATAGAAAATATAATATTTACGTAGGTATCACTCATAATAATAATAATAATAATAATAATAATATTAATAATAATTTTGTGCAAACATTCATGTATAATTATTATTTATTAATATATTTTATTTGAATCCTGAACTTCGGAGAGCAAAATGACTTAGATCTATTCGCGATTAAAAAATATTTATAGCAATACAAATCATGTTATTTTAACAAATTTTAACTCAATTAAATTAAATAAATCTGTTATTTGAGGAAGTTGTGATCGTATTAAGAATTTACAAAATCGCTATAATCTGTGATGGATTTTGGATAGGTAATAAGTATTATATTATTATAGTATAAGTATTTATTATTAATAAGTAATAAATATTAAAACTATATTTTTAACATTTCCTTACAGAATTAATAGCACTAGTACACAATTAACTATTGAGTCTATAAATAATAACCGAGCGCGGTGGTTGGCTTATTATTATTTTAAAATATTTAACACATTAAAAAAAAAAAAATCCTTAATCTTATAACAATTTTAAGTTATAAAAAAATTCAAAATATACCAAACAATATATTTTGTTAGATTAAATAATATTAGACATATATTAACGTTTATTTATCTAAAATATGCAAATAAACGTAATATTTATTTTAAGTAAATATTTGACAGAAACGATTTGTATTTTATTTTAGGTTCAAAGAAAATGCCATGGATTTATCGCACCGTTACCACGATCGTCCACTCAATCCTAAAGACACAGTGGCCTATTGGACAGAGTACGTGTTACGACACAACGGCGCACACCATCTAAAATCTCAGATCATAAATACTAAATGGTATCAGTACTTCTCACTGGACTTTCTTGCTATTACATTCGTTATAACTATGTCATTACTATACTTCTTTTACAATGTTATTTCCATCATTCTAAATTAAAGACCATCAATAATATGAGACAGTTTCTCGTTTTTATTATATTAATAATCCGTTCTTCATTTACCATCTTACTATTAAATTTGTTTACAATATAATATTTTATATGATTTTTAATTATACGAATAAACTTTCTTCTACTAAATATCGACGGTGTTTGTAGCTTCAAAAACTTTTGTACAGTTTTTGGTTAGATTTTTTTTATGAGGAAAAAATTCAAAAATGTTGCATGTCGTTAAAATTTATAAAACCTTTGGTTGATTCATGTTTCTTTTATCTTATCCAATTTTACACCCTTTCCTTTACGGTCTGAATGTTGAAACTTTTAGCTCGAAACGGTAGGTAGTTTCCCCGAATACGTTCGCACAGCAACACTACAAACAACAGACGAATAAAAATCAATAACCGTCTTCCTCGTCTTTCAAAGCTCATTAATTAAAAAATAATAATAATACCCCTAAAAATTAAGTACATGTACAAGTTATGATTCTAGGCTTATATGTATATTATTTACTTTTTAATTACTTATAACTTATAAGTAACTGTAACAATTATAATTAATTTTTTTCACTAAAATAGAAAATAATTAATTTTAAAATAAAAATATGATAACTCTATAAATATAAATTATATATGTTATTACTAACTAGTGAAACTATATTGATGTTTATCACAAATACATCCAAATTATTTTATCTATGCTGAACACTAATAATTTACTAGTAACCAAGTAATAACGATATTTTTAAGTTTTAATGATGTACTAATTTAGTATACATTATGTATAAAATACTTATGTGCAGGTGTTGTAATCTAAAAATTAATATTTTTTTTTTACCTGATAAGCGGTAATTCTTTAATAGAATGTTCTTATATATATAGATAGATAGATATTTAAATATTAAATTTTAAACAGAAAATCAATTTAAGTTTCTATATGTTTAGACTGAAACGGAATTTTATAACATGTATACAGTATGTAGTTTACCAGAACATAATATAATTAAATGGGTATGGTAAAGAGTAAGAATAAGAATTTAACTGGACGGTTTAATGGTTTATTTTAGTTATGTAGATAGAGCAGGTATATAAATTTATGATTTTTATAATGTTAATAATAATAATAATAATAATTCTATAAAAATAGAAAAATCTATCGAATATTCATAAAAAATTATCTACTGCATCATTATTCACTTTTAAAAGTTTAATTTTCAATACTATTTTGAACAATAATGTAACAATGTAAGTTATTAGTTTTCAATTTATGTTTATGGTGTGTAGTTATATTGTATCATTAAACAATAATATTCATTTAATTTATTAATTTATCTTTATAAAATACTCAACGTAATTACATAATCATAAATCCTAATAAAATAACTTATACCAAGTAAAAATAATATATTTATATTGTAAAGACTTATGACCTAGAAATTGAGGCCTTTATTTATAATTATTTATTCAAATACAACGATGATATGAGTATAATTCAAAATATATATTGATTAAGCATAGGTATTCATTTTTATAATATAGTAGCTGACACTTTATATTATAACACTAATCACTATAAACTTTAATCAATAATGGAATAATTTTTTTATTATTTATGGCTATGAATAATTATAATTGTGAAAGTATCATCATACAATATTTTTATACTTAAAACATATTTTTAAAGAAACTGTAATTATTTAAATATAAAGTTTATATTGAACAAATATGAATATTAAATTGTTATTTGAATTTGTACAAAATAGTTAATGTTCTTTAGTTTAAAATATTTTCAATTAAAAATAATATTTTATTTGAACTTATTTACGAATATTTAAAAAATAAAAAAGTAGTTATTATATAGATATTCATATACTTTGTTATTTAACAGGCATTTTATAAATTAATGAATTTTTACTAGAAATACATTTGTAAAACCATAAGAATAAACAAAAAGTATAAATAACAATTTGTGTTTAAATCATTTAATTGAAAATAAATTATAGTAAAATATGTACAACTTTTATTTATATAATTTAAAAAAAAAAAATGTTAAGTCAAAAACTATTTTTATAAGATTAACTAATATTATTAAATATTAGGTATTATCATAAAAACTGTTTATTGTATATTTTAAATATTCAAGTAAATTTTTATCTTAGATAAAGATATATAAACAAAATTAAGATAAAAAATCAAATCAGGTATAAAAGTTATTATTTATACTTAATTCTACGAACTATGATGAATGTATAACTTATAAATATTAAAATTAATTTGAACATATTTATGTTTCATTTTAAGACTTTTTAGATCTTTAACATATTTTACAGCTTTATAGGAAAACTAAAAATTCAAATAAACTGTAAATGAGTTTTGTTTTTTTAGAATTAAATAAGAATTATGAACTAAAACATAGGTATAAATGGTTTTAAGTACTTTTTAACTTTCTTAAAGTTTAGTATCAAAAACTGACAGAGGCAAAAAATAAAAATATTGTGCACGCAATAAAGTTTAAAACATGGAATGAATTGTTTGCTAAAAGGAATAGGTGTGGTGAAATTAAATTCAAATTGAACTCTTATAAAGGAATTCTAAAAGTATGCTCTTCGTTTAGTTCCACTTGTTCTAATAAAGTATCTTTTTGAAAAATTCCTAAGATAACACGTACAATTAAATTGAACTTCTTATTGAATTTATGTTTAGAAATTACATTAATTTAAATAAAAATGTGTTAAAAATACAAACTCATTGTAACTTGTAAACTCGATCGAGTTTAAAATACCAATTTAAAATCGAACCATTGACCTTCTACAAAAATTTCTGAAAAATATTAAAATCAATAAAAACACGCTTTTTAGACATAAAAAATAAAGTATTATTATTTAAAATAACATTTCAACTATTATATACTAATTTATTTCATTCTTTAAATCAATATTTAATATTTACATAAATATTATTATCGTTTTATTTCACAGTAATAATATCTTACATTACCTACTCAATCTTAAAAATTATTACCTACGTATTGTAAAGACTGAATTCTATTAAATGAGAATACAATATTATAAACATAAGTACTTGATCTAACCTAGTTTTACATAAATAAGTTATAAATATCATATAAATAATGTTCTCTTCAGTCTGCCGCTTATGTTAAAAATATTATTATTATTATTTTTTCAATAATAGATGTACATTAGGCATCTACAGCTATAAGTAAAAAAATTCATTTACCAATAAAAAAATATTGATCAGTGGCGTATTTTGAATGATTTTTCGAGAGGGGGGGAGTATTCAAACTTAAAACATGTCGTTGAATTTAATAAAATAATTTTTACTTTTGCAGTTTTGAAAAAAATATTTTGATAGGCATTAATAAAATACTAATGCATTGGGCTATATTTTTTTCAAGTCAGGAAGTGTCCAATCACGGAAGACACCCCTCCAAAATATGCCACTAATGTTAATAAGTAATAACCAGCTATTTTTATGGAGTAGGTATCTTATTTTTAGTTTCTAAAATGTATTTAGTGGTTAAAAAGTTATCTATATACAGACAGCTCAACATTTTTAAATATTAATAACTATTTAGCTAATAACTGTATGCATAAATTATAAAAGAGATGAATTTTATAGATCAAAAGTCTGTTTACAGGTATTAGATCATATATGTATATTATGTGTACAAGGTGTCTAAAGTTTACATGTTAAACATGTATCCAATATTAATAAAGGGCGTATCAATTTAGAGTCTATAGTAGATAATAATATTTTTAATACAATTTTTTTTTGAACATTGAATAATTTAATAGAAATAACTTTTGGATAATGAATAATTATCAAACACTTTTTTATCATAATTTAATGAAATTACTATGAGTTTGTTTTAGTATAATAAATACCATAAACAGTGAAACAAGCTCTTAAATATTAAAGTAAATTAATATGAGACGTATTGAAACTTTCAAAAACTGTAGAACGTACTAAATTGAAATTTTACAATTACTTTAAAATTGTATGATTTAATAAAAAATACTGCTAAAAATATTTTCCTTTCGATATATTTATGAATAGTGTATTCAGTAAAATATATCGGTAACAAATAATATTCAACTATTAATTTAAAAATTTTGTATTGATATTTTTTGGTCATAATGACTTACACTAAAATATTAAACTATTATCATGAAATACAATAGACTATAATTTTGTGTAAGACTAGATAAAACAGTAAAAAAATGAATTAAATCCTTCAAAGAAATATAGTTAATATACAATTTTAAGCTAGGCAAAGTAAAAGTTGTATTTTAACGAATAGTAGAAGTTCATTTTATTCATTCAGGTAGGATTCTAAACCAGAATCTCAAACATAATTTATTTATTTTGTCCAATACTCCGAGAGCTGATGTAATGTTTTATATAAATATATTATAATTTATAACATAAACGTGTTCAACTATGATTTTTAAATTGTTTGGAATATTTTAAAGAAATAAAAAAATCATAAACTAAAAAATTAATTCTATGTTACGAATGGTTAGCAATGTATTTATGTTGTGAAATAAACGTAAATCCCAATAATAATATATTATAATACTATGAATTTATATGAATACAATTATAAATTCATTATTAAATTCACGTGAATTACAAACTTTCGCGGGATCAGCGTTAAAATGTATAAAATAATATGCATGAAAATGGTGTATTAATTAAAAACCTGATAGGTTTTTCCAAAAAATCACGCCCAACTATTGGTTATTGAAACGTTAATATGTATACTAGGTGTATCATATAATGCAATATACCATTTCAATAGCATTTATACGGATTTAGTTTATGATAGTATTTTTTTAAATTTTTTTTTTTTTGTTTTGTTTTATTCATTAAACTTTAAGCTGTATAAAAATTCAGAGCCATAATAATTAAGAGTATCCACCCCGTGAGCAATTAAAAGTTAGTAACGCGCTTGAATGGTCTTGGAGAACTGTGCATTTTAAATCCCTGTACCAAAAGACTTAC